TATTAAAAACTTACATTTTGTAATATCATAGCAAATATATCAGGAGACTTCAGCACTCCACTTAATCTCAAAAAGAAGAAAACAAATTCCATTTAAGTGAACTATTATACATTATGCATCCATTATATTTTTGAATTTGTAAAACAAACTCATTAAACAATAAACTTTGGTAATACATCTTGTCTAGCCATAAAACAATACGCATTAGAGCTTTACAACCATGAGTGCCGTGTTCGAAGCATTAGATAATTGAAAAAGTTGTATGCAATTCATAGTTCAGATTAGTGGTGTAGCGTCAAGTTATCTCATTAAAAAGATATATAGGAAAGAAAATAAGAAGGAGGGAAAAGACAGACACAGTGAACTGAATATCAAAATATTAATTCCAGCTTCTCTTCTATTACTTGATGAATGTGTCAGCAAGAGAGAGAGAGATGTGTAGTGGATTAATGCGGTTTAGTCTTCAATGGTGACATAATCTCTAGGAACAATCAAATCCGAAATTTAACAATAAAATAAACAATATCTTCAGATTGTCTCGTAAACAAGATTTCTAGTGTTTATTTTCCCCATCTGCTGTGTCATTTATCTCTCTATTCAATCGCAGAGAGATTTGCAAACCACTTTAGGTGAGAGTGTTTTGTCCATCAGTGTTTTGGACCTCAGGGGTCCTGCATTAATCACCCTCATCTTTTATTTTACATTGGTAATGTTTTATCACAGCAAAAGCAGGTACATTTATTAAGACTCATATGGAAGAGGTTGTTAGTGGGATTCGCGTCATTCATTACAGAGTAGCTAGAATAAACAGGAAGTTGCAGAGTCAATACTGACATTTTTCCAGCACGCCTACTTATTCAGGTTTTTGATGTTATTGGGCCTTGTATCTTAGAAATAATAAATAAGAGTCTTTCTGTTGGATTTGTTCCAGAATATCTAAAGCATGCTATTGTTAAACCATTGTTGAAAAAATCTAATCTCGATGTGACCGTTCTCTCAAATTTTAGGCCAATTTCTAATCTTCCTTTTATCTCTAAAATCCTTGAGAAGGTAGTTTCTGTCCAATTATTACATTTTTTAGACGCAAATGGAGTTTTTGAATCTTTGCAGTCTGGTTTTAGGAAACATCACAGTACAGAATCTGCTCTCTTAAGAGTGTCAAATGATATTTTATTATCTGTGGATTCTGGGAACTCTGTAATACTTCTGCTGTTGGATTTGAGTGCGGCTTTTGATACGGTCGATCATGACCTTCTTATCTCTCGTCTTGAATATTGTGCAGGTATTAGAGGTCATGCACTGAACTGGTTCAAGTCTTATTTGAACAATAGAACCTTTTCTGTTTATATAAATGGATGTTTATCCTCCAAAGCGCGTCTGACTTGTGGGGTTCCCCAGGGATCTATCCTTGCTCCCATTTTGTTTTCTTTATATATGCTCCCTTTGGGATCAATTTTTAGAAAGCACAGAGTACTTTTTCACTTTTATGCAGACGACATTCAAATATATGTGCCCATCAAGCAAAATTATAATGCTGGTTTGTCTGCCCTAACTGCCTGTTTGTCAGATATTAAGGCTTGGATGTCCAATAATGTTTTGAACTTAAACGAGAGTAAGACTGAGGCAATTGTGTTTGGTCCATTAGCTTTTTCTGGCAGTCTAAATCAAGTGTTAGGCAGCTTAGCTGCTTATGTAAAACCATCTGTTAAAAACCTGGGTATTGTCTTTGACTCTGCCCTGCTATTTGATAAGCAGGTAAATGCAGTTATCAAATCGTGTTTTTTCCAGCTGAGACTACTGGCCAAAGTTAAAAGTTTTTTAACCTTAGGGTTAGGCTTTGCTGAGTTCGAGAAAGTAATCCATGCATTTATATCTTCTCGTCTGGACTATTGCAATTCAATCTATATAGGTATTGGTCATTCCTATATGAACCGCCTGCAATTAGTCCAAAATGCAGCTGCTAGACTCCTTACTGGCACTCGTAAATTTGAGCACATCACCCCCGTCTTACTCTCTCTGCGTTGGTTGCCGGTTCATTTTAGAGTAGAGTTTAAGATTTTACTTTTTGTTTTTAAGGTCTTAAACGGTCTGGCACCATCTTATTTATCTGAACTCATGACTGTTAACATATCTGCGAGATGTTTAAGGTCATCAAATCAGAAATTGTTAAAGGTTCCTAGATCAAGGTTAAAAAGAAAGGGAGACCGGGCTTTTGCCATAGTCGGCCCCAAACTGTGGAATAGCGTACCTTTATCTATTAGGATAATCTCTTCAGAATCTCTGTTTAAAGTAAAACTTAAAACTCACCTTTTAGAAAAGGCTTTTAACATCTGAGTCGTCCTGAGCATGTCTCTGTTGTCCTCTGTATGTACTACCTCCTGTACCATATGACTTTTATGTTGTTTTGATTGGTGTTTTATTAATCTGATTTTATAATTTCTTGTACAGCACAATGGTCAACGACTGTTGCTGTGCTATATAAATAAGCAAACCAAACCAAACCAAACCAAATACTGACTACAACAATGCAGGTGTGACACTGCTCATGTACACACCACATCATAAATAGACGCATTTCAATATTTTAAATGCAGTTTATCAACTGAACCATCTGAGATACCAGCCTGACTGTTTTTCACATTTATTTATATTGACAGTCAGGGATGGCTACCCACCAGCGAAATAAGTAAACGTGAACATAAAAAATATAGTAAAAGACTGGCAAAAAAAACAAAACGAAAGTGTCCGTACCAGATACTGAAAAAGTTTGTGAATGGAAAATGCTCCCCTCTTGTTGGTCTGGGACATAAAATAAAGATAAGATATTTCAATATTATATACAATATTACAGTATAAAAGTCCTTGTAACAACCTTGCAATTACTGTTTGTATATATTTGTATATGTGTGGGTATATGTATTTTTATTACTATTATGTATTATGTATTATTATTACTATTACACACACATGCACACACACACACACACACACACACACACACACAGTTATTTATTATTTACCTATTTTATATATTTTTATAAAAAACTTTTTTAAACTTATTTTTTATTTATTTGTGTACTTTTTACTTACTTTTAAAGATAGTTGTTCTGTTTTTGTATTGTTCTTTTGAATTTTTTGCCATAATAGTAGTAGTAGTAGTAATAATAATAAACAAAGTCCTTCTAGAACATATTTGCTACCATTGATAATTGAGTCGCAAGATGGAGATATGATAGTAGCACCGGTTTCTGTTTCCCAGAAAAGTGGACTAATACAGAGCACTGCCATGGAAATATTAGGCCTATATATAATATTTATATAAGTCCTTTTACATAATGAAATAATACATCTCTTTTCATGTTCTCTCCATCCTTTCTTCACACCCTGTCCTTCTTTCTCGAAAGCTGTTCAGCTGACTTCTTTGCGTTGTTGTCTTGAGGATGTGATTGGTAGCTTTTCTCTCCCACTCCCTCCACTTTATTATAGCATGAAAATGAACCTGTACCTCACCGCTCCATTTTAAATACCACAGTCATGGATAAATCTGCTCCCGTTCACAACCCTGTGAAATATTAAACACACAGAGAGAGAGGGAGAGGGGCGCCCACCAGCCAATGGATCAATATTTGCACCTCAGCGTGAAGCAATAAATATTCGATTGGTGAGAATATGATTATTACTTCGTAGCCCTAAGAGATGATTTAATGACTGCAGATGAATAAAGGCAGCACATTCCATTCTCTTTGTCATGCATGATGTCTCATTTATTTAATCTTTCTTTTCTCTCTTTTGATGATGAAACGCCATGCTTCAGAATACGTGCAGTCTGAAGTTAAAGCATGTTTGTGCTTGTACTGGGTTTATAAGTGAAACGTGTGGAATAATGCTGGGCCTTAGATTCAATGCTTGTTCTTGTTTCGTCATTCACACTTTCAGATCTGAATCGTGTTATTTTGACTGCTCGCCTTGTTCTGCTGTATAAAACCAATTTCAGAATTGCGAAATGAATTTGATTATAACACTGCAGCCTGCACATCCAATACAATGAAAAGGGAAGATAAACTGAATTTCATCCAATGTAGGAAACTGTTATACAAACGTTTATGCAAAGATGTTCAGTAAATATGAATATATACAAATAAATAGGCTATGTAATACAACTCTTATTATATTAAAAATGTTTGGGCATATTGATTTGTAAGTTTTTTTGTAACTACACAGTGCAGTGGCCCTTAAAATTAATCCAAAATGTATTAATTACAATAAATATATAAGTTCTCAAGAAGAAATTTGCTTTCAAAGTGAAGTTAGTTCTGAGAAAATGTCTAGCCACATTTGTTGGAAGATGCAACTTGGTTTAGTATTTTCCAATGCATTCATATTTTGGGGGGCTACTGTATACATTTTTGATACGCTATAACCTATATGCTGTACTTGTATTTATTTCGTATTCAGAGGAAAATAGCAGAAATATCAAACACGGAATGTACAAATACACCAAACATACATTCACTTAATGCAATGCAAAACAATTACATAGACTGCAAACCAAGATGTTTTTAATAAGCATTAACTGAAAACTCAACACAATCACAGTATATAAATGGCTACTTTCTTCACTCCTGTCACATTCATTCAGACATCTATCAAAAGGTCAGAGGGCAGCAGACAAAACAGATTCCTAGTAGGCTTGTGGAAAGTGTTTAAAGGTACCTTAAAGCATTGTTGAGAGGATGTGCGAAATGTTCAGGCCTCCAGTGAGTCTGGGGTGAGTGTGATAACAGAGCTGGAGAAAATATCGCTAGCAAAAGGGATTTCTGTTAACTCTTATTACTTTTGTTTCATTGCATTTAAAAAAAATTGAACAGCTGCTGTGAAGTCAATAACTCTTTTATTCTGGGCTTTTGTTGAATATACTGAGTGTTGAAACTCAAATAACTTTGTTGCATTTCTCATGAGCAGACTTTTATGTCTTTCTCTTTGTTGTTTTTCTTTCACAGACAGTAACTTTGTGCTGGGGAACGCGCAGGTCCAGTCTCTGTACCCCATCGTGTATTGTTCTGATGGCTTCTGTGAACTCACTGGCTATGCCCGTGCAGAACTGATGCAGAAGAGCTGTGCGTGTCGTTTCCTGTATGGGCCGGAGACCAGTGATAAGCTGATGGCACAGATCCAGGGCGCACTGGACGAAAGGCGGGAGTTTAAGACAGAACTGGTCTTCTACAAAAAAGGAGGTAGGAGACTCTTAATTATATGCCTCTGTCTCCTGCACCAAAAGCAAATGACCAGGGATTCATTCCAATTCCCATAATATCTATCCTAAATAGTATTAGTCCATCCTAAATCTTACTACATGGGATATTGGGCTACACTTTATTTTAAGGTGTGCTTGTTACAGTGTAATTATACATATAAGTATACATGTACTTACTATAGGGTTAGGGTTAGGCTGAGGGTTTGCTTTAGGGTTAGTTGCATGTAATTATGCATTATTTATTGTTATCATAATAGTAAGTACATGTAACATGTGTAACAAGGACACTGGAAAATAAAGTGTTAACGGATATTGCATGCCAAAAATGCCTGAATGGTATGCTATTTTTCCCCATAAACTGTTATTTAATTATTTATTTATTATTGAAAATATCAAATAAAAAAAATTCAAATATAAAATATAAATTTGATTAATAATAAATTATATTATTAATTATTTAATTATCTATTATTATTGTCAGTAATAATAATAATAAAGTTTCATTAAGACTTAAATGTGACATATCTATATTACGAAAAGGAGAGGAGTTAATTTAAGAAGATGTTGAAGCAATTAAATCACTATAGTTATGCTGTGGATAAGGACACCAAATCAAAGCAAACTCTAAAATCAATTAATCAGAAATGAATTTCATATGTACTGAATTGATTAGAGTGATAAAGCAGGCATAGCTGCAGGCGATAATGAAATAATTAATACAGTGGGGCAATGGACAGATAAAAATAAAAGAATAGAACCAAGTGACGTATAGAAAAATACATTTTAAATTGAATCAACCCAAGATTTTCTTCCGATCTTGAGGAAATGGATTATTTAATGCAGCTTTCTCGAACAGTTTGTTGAAGTGGTCGATTCTGCTGTTAAATCTTGTATAACTGACTGTAAGGAAAATTATTTCCAACACAGCTGTGCTACAGTAGATTTTCTCTATTGTCTAATAAAATAATTGAACCTCAAATCAATATTTACCTATCTAGTAAGTAGCAGTGTAATAAGAGAGATCAAGTAAGTATGTAATGTACATTATCCCTTACTTATTGATTTGTTTAGACGATTAGACATTTGAGTGCTTGCCATTTTTATGGATAATAAAATGTAAAAATTGAATAAATGCAATCTGAGCTTATATTAAACAGATCTGAAAGGAAAACATCTACAATGGCTCACTTTAAAAGTAAACTTCCCTCACAGTAGATGCCCAAACAAATACAATTTCAGTCCAGACTACATACATATTTGAACAAATTGGCTTTAAATGCGTGCCGTGTTCTTTAACGTGTGTCTGGAGCAGCTGATCATAGATTACGATAACATCATAATTGAGCAGCTGTCTGTCTTTTCTCCCTCACCAATTTCCTTGAAAATAACACGATATGCCTTTAAACTAGCCTTGAATAAACAATGCCTCAGAGATGACGGTGATTTCTGATGGCTTGATTTGTTCCATGTTGAACGTGATACACAGAAAGAGCACAGCGTGTCGTATAGTTAATGCCATCCATGTTTTTACCCACCTGCGGTCAAGAGAACACAATTCCATCCGTGTACCAGGAAACCACTGTGAATTGCTGTGAACATACAGCGTAGTCCTCTCTGTCAAACCCTATCAGACACCAGAACAGGTGGAGAGAATTTGGCAGATATTTGGACCAAAATATTCTCGAAACACAGCACCGTTGACAACCGATTTCTCACCTGATTTACTTCAATTTAGCATTCGTGCAACATTCATAAGAAACAATTTGCCCCTTGCAGCCTGAATTCACAGAGTCCGATTCATTCATTTGGCTGGTATGTAAGAGATACTCAGCAGCTGTTTGTTGTCTTATCAAAGAGAATAGGCTGTTTATGTATTCTTTCCAGTTTGAACAAGCCACTACAGTCCCAAACAGAACTCTGAATGCTTCCTCCATCACGTCGCCTCTGTGCATCAGCCACAACACTCCTGCCACTTTGTCACTGAGTCAAAGGACTTCTAAACATTGGCACTACCCGAACACGTCTCACACACCTCTCGTGGCCTCCAAGTTCAGGTTGAGGTTGTACATGGCTCAAAGGGAATAAAAGATCATAGCTGTAAGACTGCTGTAAATTCCCCCTGTTGCATGGCTGCCATGTTGCATTGAGACACTGTCAGTCCTCTGTAAGATAAAGAGCCTTAACAAACTGTCAAATGCAGATTCAATTATCACTTTGACATGAATTAAATAATTAAAAAATAATAATACAATAAAATAAGAATGACAATTGAACAATCAGTCATTTTATAGTGGTGAAATAACATTATAGCCCTGCTGAAAAAACAATAGACACCATCACAAAATTTGTAATGGTTTTACTGGTTATAATGGGACTTGTATTGGTTTTAATGTAAACTGTAATGGACCCCGTGGTCTATTGGTGGCTTGTTAAAACCAATAAATCCTAATGGAATATGTCCCAAAACACACTACAGAAAACCATTTTTTTTTAAATGGTTTTAATAGTTAAAAGTTGATGGTTTGTAATGTTTGTAATGGTATTTGTAGTGGAAACCATTAGAATTTTCTGTGATGGTTCTATTGTTTTTTCAGCAGGGAGAATTAAATCATCCTTCAGATTCGATTACTTCCCAGCGCCGTCTCGCTTTCTGCGCAATGCGCATGCGCAAAGTGCTATAAAGCGTTCTACAGTAGCGTGACAATTTTGACAGTTTGTCGCCCTGTAGTACGCCCTGGTGGGTCTAGCCTGAAAAAAATAAGCTTTTTAATGCTCTTTGAGCACAATAAACAACATTTATGATGGTGATTTCAAATATGAAATGTAATCATAAGCTTGGTGAACAGTTTTTGAGAATGTGATGTTTCCCGATTAAAAGAGATAGGAGCTGCACTTGAATGCGTGAAACGCGTTTCAAAGATGGCGGCTGAGTGACATGACTTGCCTTAAAGGGACTTTGACTAATATATAGGGTTGGAAAGACTGATGAATTACTCGCAGTCAAAATGGCCATTTAATCGCAAACTGTGGCAGTTCAAAATTCAAAACCATACTTTAAAATAAATAGTAAACACAGTTGCTTTGAGATACAATGCAGCTCATTTAGTGTATTAAAGAGCTCTTATGTAAGGTTTAAGAATGATACTTGACCCTTATTGGCCAATAATCATCATAACAACCTTCAATCCATTGTGCAGTCAAACTAGTGACTGTTTAATCATTCATTGTTGATCTTAGCTGTTCACCACATGTGGCACAAATCAATTTATTGTATTTACCTATTGTCAGCAGCACATGCTTTATTCATAGGTTGGCATGTTGCTGTTCTTAGACCTTATTAAGTGGTTTGTTTTGAACGTATTGCTCATTGTGTTATATGGCCTATGGTCTCTGACCGCTGGTTCAATGAAATGTATTCTTTTCTTATAGAAATGTACTTCTCTTGACTCAAGCTGTGCCTAATGAAAGGGCTTGGTGACACACACACACACACACACACACACACACACACACACAAACACAGAACTGTGTATCATTATAGGGACTCCAACCTCCATCCAAGCATGTTCTACCTCTTTCTTTCCGTTTCCCTCCGTCTCGATTTAATGAGGCATGTTATGATACTCTGGCATAATGTTGAGCAGCCGCAGAATGTCGGAGAACCTGCATGTGTGCACACAAATACACACAGACACAAAACAGGGAATTCTGTGCTCAGCAGTCAAGACATGTTCTGCTCACCTGTCAAAAGACTACATTTATAAACTTTGATTTACTATACAAAAAAGAGAAGCAGTACATGAATGTATGGATGTTATTGACAAACATCAGTGGAAAATTGTATGGATGGAGAATTTCATTTCTGGGAAGGCCAAATGCTCAGAAACACAAATCAGACCACTCAGGAAGAAAAAGACAGGAGATGAACATGTTATGAAGAGATGATATACTTATGTTTAATCATGTTTGTGTCACGTTGAACGCTGTCTTTGTTCAGATTTTTTTTCAAAAATTAATTTGTTCACATAATTATTTAATGGCAAAATAAATATATTAATCCAGGATCTACATTAATCTATATACTCTTGAAAGTTTTGGAGTGTAGAGCGCTCCCAAACTTTGGACAACTTGCTTTTGTCTTGCATTGCTCATTCTGTGAACTCCACCAATGTCTAATGTGTTTTTCTCATTTAAATGTTTTTTTTTTTTTTTTTTTTGCATTGCTATGTGATGTCAGTGATGGCTATTCTCTGTGATATGCATAAAGACCCAACTAATCGATAATGAAATGAATTGTTGGCCATTTTCTTTATCAATTTCATCAATTAGCTATTGCAGCCCTAGATTCAATTGCTAAAATCTAATGGATTCATATGAGATGCTCCTGCCAGACAGGATACGAAGCACTTTAGATAACAGTGACTTTGAGATGTCCTTCTGTGCTGCCTTTGCTATTTACTAAGTCTAGAGCTGCAAAAATGTTTTTTTCCATATATTCAATTTAACTCAAGGTACAAATAGGGGCTCATGGGAAATGAAGGCAGTACAGCCAACTGAGAGAACCTCTGACGAAAGATAGTTTTGATTTAGACTAAAACTAATAAGTAGTCAAGGTCATATCATATAATTTATTGATCTATAATACATTTTAAACATAAAGCCTGGTCTAAATATAAGGCTGTTGTAATGCCTGCCAATAAATGTGTGTCAATATTGAATGTTCATTTTGATTGTTAACTCTGACGGCTATTATGGATATTTTGTTTTGACAGGAACTCAGTTCTGGTGTCTTCTGGATATTGTGCCCATTAAGAATGAGAAGGGCGAGGTGGTGCTCTTTCTAGTATCACACAAGGACATAACAGACAATAAGAAAGTCCAAGATGAAGAGCAGAGTCCAGAAAGAGGTGAGTGTCGCTACCTGAATGATGGGATTTTATCTTCATGGAAAATTATCTTTACTTAATATCCTAATGATTTTTGGCATAAAAGAAAAATCGATAATTTTGACCCAAGCAATGTATTGTTGGCTATTGCTACAAATATACCCCAGTGACTTAAGACTGGGTTTGTGGTCCAGGGTCACATATATCGAAATCCATAGATGACAGCAAAGGTAATCTAGATGTAAAATAAGGGCAATTAAACTATATATGAAACATATATTTTTAAAAACATATAATTTTTTTGCGTTCGCTCACAACACACTTAAATTTCATATTTAAAAACACGAATAATTATTATAGTTATAAAAATTTTATTATTATAATTATTACAATTTATTGATTTTAAAAAATTAGAATTTATATAGTAGTTATCAGCCAACTTTTTATCATTGTGTAGAACAAAGAAAACAATGATAAAAAGAGAGAAAAGCAAGAGAGTCATAATGTGTAAAAAATGGCTGTACAGTAAAAGTAGGTACAGAGGCAAAGTGCTCTATAACAAAGGGAGAACATATTATCCTTTTATACATACAGCAACACTTTCAGCCTCATACGGGATGCTCTACAAAGCTTATTACGAGATGATTATTCTTATTCTCCCTTAATTCCACTAATATTCACACACACCTCAAACACCTGGTGTAGTCAATGTCATACTTAGCAAGCTTATCCTCTGTTTCTCATTCCCTCTCTCGTTCTTGGCTACAGAATCGTGTGTTTTGGATGCTTCTGTACAGGCCAGCAGCATCTCATGTGGTGCTCGCTGTTACAGTAATCCTTACACCTCTCCTCTCCAGAGAGAAAGAGAGAACGGTAGACTGATAACGAGAGAGATGAAAAGACATGCACAAGACACAGGGAGGGCCGGGAAGAAAGCTTGGCACAGAGGTGGCCTGAGCTTGAGCCAAAACACGATTACTGTTCAATTGGCTGAAGGATAAACAATGTACTGGCATTAGGAATAGTATATAACTAGTCAATGATGTCAACTCATTAAAAGTGAATAATTGGAATCAATTTAAAAAGAGTGAGAGTTGCATTCTTAATCATGTTGACTAAGCCAAATATTCTTTAAAAAAAGCAGGGTTGGATTCATGTAATAAAGGGAAAAAAGCCATTCAATAAAATAAAAAAAGGATGGAATGAGGATTTGGAAAGAGCAAGAAATAAACTGGAAGATTTGTAAGACATCTTATACAAGAAGCTGACAGATGGCACTTTCCAAATGAAATTAGTCACGTAAACTAAAGTCATCAATTAAAATCAACACTTCAGTGAAGGGTAGGCTGCCGGGAACATGTTAGTTAGCATATGAGAAGGGAGCAGAACTCCTTTAATGTTTTTCCATATTTTATTTTCTCCTCAAAACAGATAATATACACTGTCAAATGTGTGTTTCAGAAGAATCAGTAAGATATAGAGATACAGTAGTTTTAACTGGATTTTTATATTCTAATTTAATAAATATAGCCTTGGGGAGCATTTACACTACTTACAGTGTAAATGTAAGAACAGTAGTGTACTGTATATAAGTAATAATTAAATAATTAGTTCTTATTTCTTGTTTCTAGTCAAATTAAATGAATAGTTTACCCCAAAATAAAAAATACTATATTCTTCAAAAGATTTACAAAGCCATAATACAGGTTTGGCTGTACAAACTGAACTCATTGTTTACTGAAAATTGTTGAAAATATAGTACGTTTTTTGTCATTTTGGCGCTTGAGATGTGTTTGTTGAACGGGGAAAAAAAAACAAAAAAAGATTAAAAAAAAATACAAATCAGAATGACTCTGAACACCCCTGGTGCAGCAGACAGAATGAGAGTCTGATAGCCTTTAGAGAGGGAAGGAGAGGAAGCACAAACTGAGGATACAGTTGAATCATAATCTAAATTGGCATCTTTCTGCTTTTTCAGAGAGCTTCTAAAGGCTTTAATTGTTTATTATAAATTTGCCTGTTTATTTCCCACAGTGTAATCGATCTGTGTTCATAATTGTTCAAATAAATGAATGTTTTCTACCTTTTTTAAGTTTCTGTGTTTTTTTCATTGGATGCATTTCTCTTTTGTCATATTTACAAACCCTTGATAAATAATGAATGTGAATGTAATTTGTTTTGAGCAGACAGTGCTAATAGCTAAATGTAATAGTGATTTCAGTGTTCAGTTCGTTCATTCAGAGGGTTATGGATAAAAAATGAAGCTAGAATTTTCTAATGACTTAACAGAAGTAATGGTGGAAATCTGTGCTTATGTTTTCTGATGCACAGTAAAGCTACATGAGGTGTTTTCTGGAATAACTTGATGTTATTTAGTGTTGAGTCAAACAATTCAGAAATTAAATATACTAAAATATATGGCTGTTCTCTGCTCAGACGAGGAGACGGGGCTGGAGGTGCACAAGGTCACGCAGCCACCAGGCTTCAATGCCAACCGGCGACGCAGCAGAGCTGTGCTTTACCAGCTGTCTGGACACCTGCAGAAGCAAGACAAGAGCAAACTCAAGATCAACAATGTAAGACCCAGTTAGACACACTTACATTCTTATAATTCAGACTTAAGACCTTAAGAATAGTTCAAGTACAAACATTATTGTAGGAAATAAAAAGGAAATATAAAAATGACCTTGTAAAGATAAATATATAACAATATGCTGTGTTCAGCAATGAGACAAAGTTATTTACTGCTTCTTCTCAAATGAGTTGGATTAGTTATTTAATTCACTGTGAGCTGCACACATCATACTGTTTATGAAAATCTTGAAAATAAAAGAAAAAAACAATTAAACATTTCTGAACATTGCTATTATATTTAGAACATGTTCGGTGAGAAGCCGCCCATCCCAGAGTACAAAGTGGCAGCCATTCAGAAGAGCCGTTTCATTCTCCTCCATTACGGCACCTTCAAAGCTGGCTGGGATTGGTTGATCTTGTTAGCCACCTTTTATGTAGCAGTTACTGTGCCCTACAATGTCTGTTTCACCGTTGTTGGTGGGCGAGATGAGGTGTCGACCCCTAGAAATCCACCGAGTGTGAGCGACATCTTGGTTGAAATCCTTTTCATGTTAGGTAAGGCTCAACCTACTGTCCTATTGTTTTTTTTTTGTTTGTTTTTTTGCTGTGTCATTAATTTATCAAACATAAGTTGTTCTGTCTCAATAATGTTACCTGGGTGATATTAAATATCTTTTGATACCAATGCCTGCTAATAAAGTACCCTGAGCACACCGTCCTATTATTTTTCAGGTGTGCATGTACATTTCTGAGTGAGACAGTATTTTATGTAACAGAGGTAATATACGGTCAGATATCTTTCAATTACTCAGAGCTGGTAAAATGTTCTAGATGTTACTAAACAAATGTCACAAAACGCATCTAGCATTTCTAAAGCGTCAAAATCGTGAGATCAAAACTAAAAAGATTTTGAAGGACAGGTCAGAAAATAACAAAACTTAATATGTGTTTTATAATTCATAAATAACTCTGAAGGTCCACTGTCATATTAATTTATTAGTAAACTAAGATTCCTGTCTGTAACTGTTGAAGGATACAGGTGAAGAAAATACTCATATACAGACACATTAGATAAAATATCAGATTTATAGCCATTACCTTTATATTAGAACTCTACAGTGAGGATAAGCACTGCTTAAGGGCAGTAGTCTTCAATGACAGAATCTGTTATTGCTCATTACACACAATTTCATAATGCAGATCAACTATTTGTATCATCAAAAAGCTCCTGCTTTTCTGTGCTAAAGCCATTTACTAAACTTTGTAAGTGCTATTTGCAACTTCCATTAAATAGCATTATAGTAACTAGAACCCATACCAAACTTTTATAACCTGTCACTGAACCAGGTAATGAATAAAATATAAAAAGATTTTTCTGTGATATAGTAATAAATAAATATCTGTCATCTAATTTTTTCTAAAATATTTTTTTCTTTATATCCCTGTGACAGATATTGTGTTAAATTTTCGCACCACATTTGTGAGCACATCAGGCCAGGTGGTGTATGATGCGCGCTCTATCTGTGTACATTATGTCACCACCTGGCTTTTTGTGGATCTGATTGCTGCGCTACCTTTTGACCTGTTGTACGCCTTCAATGTCAGTGTGGTGAGTGTTCATTTTGCTCATTTTGAAGATAATTTTACTGTTTATTCACAACCTTATAAACCTATATATTTTTGTTTTAATGGCCATCACACAGAGCTTTGTGGGACACCACATTTCATATGATGTTGGTCATGCCATCTTAAATAATTATTCATTCTATGATTTCCTTTTGAACTATACATTCAATATCTGTGTGTTTAGTACTTTGGAGTTCATCTGCTGAAAACAGTTCGATTGTTACGGCTTCTGCGCTTGCTGCAAAAGCTGGAGCGCTACTCCCAGTACAGCGCAGTGGTACTCACATTACTTATGTCCATGTTCGCCTTGCTGGCACATTGGATGGCCTGTGTCTGGTATGTCATCGGCCGCAGTGAGATTGAGAACAACAGCCCTGGTTCCTGGGACATTGGTGAGTGCCATATCTACAAACTGTCAACATAGCTGTACCAATCTTTCAAGTTTAAATTCCTTCAAACAGATTCTTAAGGTCTTCTAACAAGTTTTGAATACAATGTTTATAACTACTATCTGAGCTGAACTAGAAATGACCTTCAAAATGGTATAAACTCCTAAAAAAATATTGAATTAGATATTTTATGAAACCACATACTCTAAGTAAAATTAATGCTTCCACAACAACAACATCAACAATAGGGCAGTTATCATATTAGCATACGTATTGCTGTCTAACAGATCAGACTGGGGCCTTGATTTGTTAGCCTAAATTGGACAGAACCCATTTATTTTCACATGTGAAATAATTCTTTTCACAATGTCTCATATACAAGGATCAATTATTAAATGTCTGTCCACTAATATTCTCATTATATTGAAAATGTACAACAACCTTTTTATGTGCCTTACAAAAAGGCTTCCTATTACAAATATCTTGCATTTGTGATTTTAATACATGCAAATCACTTTTCAAATTATATAGACACATGAGAAAAAAAGGCCAGACATAATGCGTTTTGTCAGAAGGACAGAGCAATCTCTCTGGTTCTGTGAACAGCACATTAAGGGGAAAGTCTCTGATTTAAGAATTATCTTCACATCATTCAAGTGTGTGTCACATCTGAACAAATGTACCTTTTCATATTTTTTCATGAACAGGTGAGTCTGACTTAGAAATAAACCTCTCTCTCAATCTCACATGTGTTACCCTACACATGAATAAGAAAAAACAAACAAACAAAAAAAAAGAAATAGCTGTGAGAAAAGAGTGTATGATGACATCAATATGATCTTGACAGCATGAATCTTATAGGACCTGATTTATTAAAGGTCATTATCTTTTTTTGACAAAGATAAACTACGGAAAATACTTTAGGAGTCCTATAAACTAATTTTATACAACATTTAGTCTTTACAAGAAAGTCATTGAATCATTCACTGAACTGAAACGTGCAGGAACAAAACAACTGATGGTCTGTATGAGTGATTCGAGTCATTGAATTATTTACACATAAACCTAAAATGTAGGAGTGTCCAACCTATTCACACATACTATTTGTGCAGTTATTTATAGAAAGTCACCTGTAGTCTAACACCATCATATCTAATGAAAGTGGTTCTTATTGGCTTCAGCATCAGCAGTATCCTCAGGCACATCTAAGCCCTAACTGACCACTATTCCACACTGGCTACTGGTCAGAGGATTCAATTACATCCACATGTTCTCCTTAAAAGCAGGGATACTACTCCAATATCCAGTCTTTGCTGGTGTGCCAACAATATCACCCACCATTCCCTCTCAACCAGTTTTACATTGTACAGCCATTAAATGTTAAGCACACGAGGCTGTCGTGACACGTCTAGTTTTGCTAGTGGAAATGGAAGTTTGTAACATTCTGCACATCAGATGGAATATTTTAGCATGGAAATACAAGACACGTCCATCATTTAATGAGACTCAAATGTGAGTTTATATCTGATGAGTACCAGTTTCAGATTGACTCTTTACAGCTATTATTATTTGCCTTTGTGAGGCAGTGTTATTGATGATAATGAAATATTGAAGTAGCTTTGAGTAATGCTGTCTATCTGTATTGGATATAGGGCCATAAAGGTTGTAAATGGATTGGAGTTTTGCCGTATCAATAATAAAAGGTTTCTCTGATGGTTCCTCCAGGAGCTGATTGAACTCTGGTTGCTCTGTGCCTCCCTCTCCATCTTTTTTTCCCCCTCCATATTGCTCACTTCACTGGCCTCACCTCAGCAGAGCACTGTTCTTTTTACTGGCTAGCTGCCCAGCAGACCTTGAGAGACTAGAGAGGATTTTGAAGTTGGCTGTAAAAATCATACCGTCAAATCAGTCAAAACTCTTGATTCTTTCTCAAGTGGTTTGGAAGAGAACAGAGATCCCCCACTGCGAGAAATGTATTATCCTTTCAGTCTTATTATTACAGGCATTTTAATCCTCATACTCTTCTTGCACATCAATCTCCCTTACTTTCCTCCTTTACCATCTTTACTTTTGGTCACCTATGCCATTACCCTTGGACTTCTTTTGCTCCCTTTTCATGTCATGAATAAATAATGTGCACCTCATAAACATATCAAACATATAGCTTGTTTTCTGACATTAGATATATTAGATATTCAAAGATATCCTTTTTCCTCCTGCAGTGATTTACAACCTAAGGTAGCCTTTGTGGTTTGAGACACAATTTTTCCATTCATCATTATTTTTCTATTCATATTTTCCTCCTAAATAAACAACAGGATATGTAAAGTATATGTTTCTCAAGCCTGCTCCATCAGAGGCATTACTGGTATAAATTAATATTCGGCAATGCTCTTTGCTAGTATTACATTTACATTTGTACTATTCATTCTAGAGGCTCAACCTTGAGCCTAGAGAAGCTTGTCAAGCACTGGCTGATGGCTGTTTTTCATAAAATAATTATGCACTCTGTCATCAAGTGCAATTGAATTATCAAAACCACAATTTTTTACTTTACACAAATAATGTGACAGAAAAGCTTGCATAAACCTCAGTGATGTCTGGAGGAAAGACTCTCACTAATACATACCAACTTCACCCAGCCAGTCCAGACATCCACAGCTTTCACACACACACACACACACAAGCAAATATTATGTTTTGATGCCTTTGAATGTAAATAATACATAAAATAATGTTAAATGTTAATGTAAATGCAGCTACTATATGGGATTTTAATCATGGCTGTGAGTTTGGGGCAATTGTAACATTTATAAAAACTGAGTGTTTCCTGAAGTGTAATCCTGAAAATGCGTGAGGAACATTATTTCATTAAAATGAAACAGTTGAATATAAAATCTAGTTATTTAAAATATTCACAATGTAGGTCCTTTAAATGCACATTATTCCTGCTAGCTAAAACCATTAGCACTGTATAAAAGTTAAAACTATTGTGTAATATTATCAAGTATTAAAGCAATTATATTATTACTTTGAGGTGTGCTCTCATTTGAGATATGGTGGGTTAATACCATTTGTGTAATGGGAGCAATTATAACACTGACTTTGAAGCCAATTCAATATTATGATCAAATCTTTCTCAATGTAAATATGTTAATGGCACTATTACATAGTACTGGTAGTAGTATTCATTTTATATACTCCTTTACCTGGTCAATAGGTGATTTTAGAAAGCAAAAGTGAAAGCGAAAGGGAAATGGAAATGGAGCTGCATTCTTCTGCATAACAATCCTTAATCTGAACAAAACCATGGAAATGTTTATCTTAAAACACTGTAGATATAAACCAGAGCACAAGGAGAGAAAAAAAGATGGATATAAGAACAAATCAGTGCATACTAGCATGATAAAAAGGGACTGTTAGTAAGCAGATATCTGTAGGTGTCCAGCATATATGAAGGACACTTTTGTCATGTGTGATTGTGTATCAAACATTCCCTGACAACTGCTAGCAAAAGGTTATCTGGCAATTTTTGCCCTCAATCTTCATCATTCCCTTTCTGACCTTTCACACTTCTTTCTGTCTCCATGTCAGTTTTTCTGGTTCTCTAGAAAAATATCACTTCTAATGCCACATATGGTACCTCTACTAACTCCAAACTAGACACTTATAGACAAACAAGCAGGGAGAGACGAGAGAAAAGAAAATGTACAGAACCAGTCCCACAGGGAACAAAATTAGAGTCTCCAGAAAAAAGTTCAGCCTACTGCAAACCAACTGATATTCAAAACGCTTCAGATTCAGCACCATGGACAGGGACAGCTGCTCTATATCTACTCAGTTCTGACAGTGACCTAAGAACCATGGACAGTGGCCATGCACTCACTGAAAAAGTTTTTGGAGTGACAACCTCATTGCATTAGTTATAGTGCCAAACTCAAATGGAAAAAATATATATTTTCTGGTTCTCTCGAAAAATATCACTTCTAATGCCACATATAATACCTCTACTACCGCCACACTAGACACTTATAGACAAATAAGCAGGGAGAGAACGGAGAGAGAAAAGAAAATGTACAGAACCAGTCCCACAGGGAACAAAAGTAGAGTCTCCAGAAAAAAGTTCAGCCTACTGCAAACCAACTTATATTCAAAATGCTTCAGATTCAGCACCATGGACAGGGACAGCTGCTCTATATCTACTCAGTTCTGACAGTGACCTAAGAACCCTGGACAGTGGTCATGCACTCAATGAAAAAGTTTTTGGAGTGACAACCTCATTGCATTAGTTATAGTGCCAAACTCAAATGGAAAAAAAACAAATTATTAGAACAATCACCAAATTATGTCAAATTATGAACATTATAGACAATTTCACAGGTCAAAACATATGCCAATTGAGTACATTTTATGTCTTTCTCATAGGCTGGTTGCATGAGCTGGGTAAACGTCTGGGCACCCCCTATTTTCTGTCCCCTCTTGCATCCCTCATTCCTGATTCGCTGCGCCCCACCATCTTGGATGGATTGGTGGTCAATTCAAGCCAGTGGAACGGCACTGATGTGGTGGGACATGAGTCTGTGTGGAACTCGAGCCAATGGAACACAACAGGAGCAGGGCCGATGGGCACTTCAAATGCAGGACAGACTGGAGCCGTACTGGGAGGCGGGCCCTCGATTCGGAGTTCATATGTGACTTCGCTGTACTTCGCTTTAAGCAGTCTGACTAGCGTGGGCTTTGGCAATGTCTCAGCCAATACTGACTCAGAGAAGATTTTCTCTATTTGCACCATGCTGATTGGAGGTAAGTGCAAGAAAACATGGTTACAAATTTTTTGGATTCATAATGCTTTGATACATGGATGTACAGAGTTGTGTTCTAAATAGGGATGCACAATATTGTCTGACCGATATCGGAATGGACCGATAATGACTTTAAATGTAAATATCGGCATCGGCCCGATATGAAAAATGATGCCGATATGTCTTGCCGATGAAAGGAATATGTTAACTCACATGTGCTCAGGGTGTGCTAGCGGTTAGATCATGTCAGCTGTGTGGCTCATTCTTAAAGCAAAGTTTTGCCTGAATGGTGATTAGCTTCACTGTTTTGGATCGCTGCATTTAAACTGAGAATACACATACAGAATGATGTGTTCGGTGTATGACAGAGTAAACAGTAATAGCACGTGCAGTGGCAGCAGCGGCAGCCTCCCCCGGGTCCTAATGCCCATTTGTAAGGAGTTTTAATTCCGTAAGGGGCACTGTTGGCTTACTTCTAATAAAATGAAAGTAAAATACACAAATAACATTTAGACTTTGTTTCTGATTAAATAAAGCAGTAATTGATGTCATAAAATCATGAGCATGTTTTAAAGGTCAGAAGCTATAGCTTACATGAATAAAAAAAAATCACAAACATGACACTTGTAAATTAAATAATTTTATATACTGTATACTGATTTATTCATTAATGTGTAATATGTTGTATTTTTAATACAAATTATGAGCTCTGAAAGATTTTCAGAATTTTTACAACTCTTTTGCTTTAGATCATCTACAAATGTTAAAACTTAAAATAATCAAATGTAAGGTTACCACTGTTACCAAGGTTACCACAATGTAAGTTTTTTTTCTTTCTGAAAAAAAATGCAGCTATTGATATATAGTTTATTTATAGTTATTTTGAAAGCTTCAATGTACAGTCATTATAAAAGAACATTATTATTTATTTAATTCTAACAAATAAGTTCTTGTTAAAAACTAACCAAAATTAAAAACAATTTGCTTATCATTTCTGCACAGGAGAGACTTGGTGTTGTTTCCAAACAAAAGTAAATATATCGCTATTGGCATCGGCTATCAGCCAAAATGAGTGAAAAAATATCGGCATATCGGATATCGGCAAAAATCCAATGTCATGCATCCCTAGTTCTAAATATTGATAATTTACAAGTGTTCTTTTTTTCTTGATCAGTTTAAAATATCTATATACACTACTGTTTAAAAGTTTGGTGTTTGTAAGATTTTTTAATGTTCTGGAAAGTAGTCTCTTATGCTCACCAAGGCTGCATTTTTTGATCAGAAATATAGCATAGTCTGTAATAATGTTAAATATTATATTACAATTTAAAGTCACTTTATATTTGAATATATATTAAAATGTCATTTATTCCTGCAATGGCAAAGCTGAATTTTTAAGACCCCAAACCTTTAAATGGTAGTGTATTCCAGTGGAAAGGATTAGGAGTACTATTGTATGTGTAAGGAAAGACATAAAAATTGCCAAAATATTAAAAAATAATGCATAACTTTGCTAATTAGGCATCAGTTAACAGTATTTCCAGGTAATATCTTCAACCCAATAATAATTTGAAAAATATATAGTTTTTTAGACTAACTATAGTAAAGAAAATTATCCATGATTTTACATTTTTAAATGTCAACATTCTGGTGTAAGAATTTGGGGAAATCATATTGATAATCAGATATTGGGAATTTTGTAGAATTACGGTTCTAACAGGAATATCTATCTAAACAGGATTATTAAATCTTGAAGGTTGAAGATGATGTGAATGTCATGTATACTGGGACAAGTGTATTTGTGCCCCTCTGGTAGAATCCCGCTCTTGGTGAAAGACATGGTTTAATAGCTTCTCTTAGCTTGGGGGGATCCAAATGTTCCCTCTGTTATCTTCCCCACCCCCACCAGACATCAATATTCAGAGAGATGATTTAGTCTCCTCAAGCAGTGATGATTTAACACTTAAAATAAGATGGTTTCACCATCCCACAGTATAAACTGATGTGTTTGTTTATACGGAAAAGCACAAATTTGGAATAGACTGAAAAACAAATCAGTTAATTTTAACTAAACAAAAGGGGGCGCTCATGAACACCCATTTCAACCCTAAAATTACAGATGGGACTCCCTAGAATTGTGTACTCTTCAGATTCACATGTAAAAGAAGGCTACAAGACGGCAAGTCCACAAAAAGTGCACTAATGAATGCATTTTCCCCAAGGTCTAAACTTCCATTCTTCATAAGATAAGACACAGAGGTGCATTTGCTTTATTGGAGTAGTTTTTAGTAAACCATCTGACCTCATTTACTTTTAAACTACATTTCCCACAGGGCTCCATTCTTAGAGCACCAACATTTTCTTTGACCATGTTATTCATTAAGCTTAGCTACTTATTGATTATCTCTGTCTTCAACACATTTTAAGGTAAGGTCTATTGACCATCGTTTAACTACCTCTGAATCTTCAACCATAAAAGCAGTGACGGTTGAGTACATATTTGTCCAATATTCCTGTATTTTCCAATTTATGTTAATGGCCAACATTCTATTTGTCTCATGACGTGTTGCTTTCATGTTTAATTGCAAAATGAGTGACTTGAAAGTTTTAATTCAGTGTGTCTTCATTGTCGGGTTCAAAACCATAGTGTTGGAATATTTGTGTGGATTTTTTGACATCATTTATACCTCCTAACCTGTTTAACTCTTATAAGAAGGTGGCTTACGTTGGCTACTCTGAGCCGTTTTCTTTTAACCTGACGGTCGGGATTCGACTGCCACAGAATTGGAGCGGCTTGTTATCTGCTGAGGCAGCGGTAATGATTTTTCAGCTGCAAGTGTCCCGTGTGGGTTTGAGGGAGATGTTGTGACAGTGGACTGAATTTTAAGGCATGTCCTCTGGGCCATGAAGAGAGAGACACAGGCTTCATTGCACTTAAGAGGGCCAAATGAGGATGGCTGAATCCATGCACACTTACATGCACACTGAATCAATCTGTCACCAAATCCTACCACTAAGGGCCATTACTGTCCCAGCCAGCTGACAGCTGGGCTCCTACCCACACACAGAGATCATGCACACTGAGGGTATTTGGGGAACACTGACATGCCTAAAAATTACCATAATTACATCAAACAAGTAAGCATATTGTTTATTATATTAAGCAGACTACAATATGATGTGTACCCATTCCAGAGGAATCCTTTACTTCTCAGACACTATGCTTTAAGCTTGCTAAGCTCAGCTTAGTTTAGCTTTTTTAGCTTAGACTTAATTAACTTCTCAGTTATGCTTCATTTAAAGGGATGTTTTACCCAAAAATGAAAATTCTGCCTACATGATTCTAAATATGTAAAACATGTAAAGATGATCGTTTTTTCCCATACAAAGTCCATATGATAAAATTCAGTTGGGACCAAATTTGTTATGGACCCAATTGATTTATTTGGATAAAACCAGCTATACAAAATATATTTTAAGTCATACACAAGATGAGTGTGCAGTGAATAACAGAATTCTCCCAAAATCCATTAGGAGAAATAAAAGTGAAATTTGTAAGTAAGCGTATGTTCGAATTAATTCAATTCACTTTGGTTCAAATTGATTCAGTTCATTTCAAAACATTTCAGAACTTGGTGAATTTGCAAGGTCATATAAAGTAATATTGTATAATATGCTTAAAAAACATAATTCGGTAAATAAGAAAATAATACTAATGGTCAGTGAAAGAGCTGCTTTACATCTTTTTGTTAATTGTTTTGAAATTGTTAATCATATTTTTTTTCTGATTTATTTATTTATTCTTTTTCTCCTTTTTATTCATTTTTAAAGCAGTACATAAGACAAAACATACTTAGACGATACCAAAAATACAAAACATATGGAACACAAAGTTAGATGTACATGTAGTTATGTAAGGTTTGTGTGTGTGTAAAAATTGTGTTGAGTATGTGTATATCTATATTATGCTTTTACTAATATATATGTAGAACAGCCTCTTTGTAGACGGTCAGAGCCGAATGTTTAAGGAGGGAAAAAAGAAAGTAAAATAAAGAAAGAAAGGGAAAAAAATAAATAATAAAAATAAACAAAAAAGAAATAAATTATTGAATAAATAAGTAGAAATTAAATAAAGAATTAATTTAAGAAAGGGAGAAAAATTGTTATTGTCATTTTTCTATTGCCAAAGTTTTAACCACTTTTATTTTGAATTGTGTGCATAATTTTCAAGCAAGAAACATTATCTAAACATCCAAATGAATTATACAAAATGTATTAAATATAACACTAGATTTTTAAGTAATGTTGATATTAAATGATACCGAAGTGTACAGTATTTGAGGAATAAGCCTTTTTTTGAAGTGCCTCTTCAATAAGTGCCTCTATTTATGAAAGGAGGTTTAAAATTCATGTGGCAACCACTGCTCAGATAATTTGGTATTGGAATAATTTGATGAGAAATGTTTGAGTTTATATTGGCTGCACAGTTTGAGACCACAATGAAATAAGAATAAAGAAAAAAAGGTCTCCATATAATCGCACTCCTGTCTTGGAGAGACAATTCAGCAAGAGACCTCATTTGTCCTTCCAACAAGAATCAGGTGGTTGAAACAGGTTTTATTAGCTTTTAATAATTCTGTTTCCCTATTTCACCTGATTTGAAGATTTTCATGGATTTCATCACAAAGCTCATCCAAGCACTCAAAAGGCACATAACCCAGGTGCAGCCACTTATGCTGAGCGCAGTTCTTGAACAGAAGAGCGGCGTGCAATTTCCGCCACAATTTATGTAGACTTCAATTAGCACTCCATGAGTACTCTCCAATCTTTCTTGATTGTTTACACTCATGTTGGCAAAGCTCACAATGTTAAATAAATAATAGATGATATAGAGTTTGGTGGAGTGAAAACAGTTGCACTGAACATAATGTATGCAGAGGACACTAAACTGAAAAGGATTTGCGTTGCAAACCATTAGCATGCAGTCCACTGACACTGAGATCAAGCAATAGAAAGAAAACAGGCTGGAGCAAGATGACTAAATGACTAAACGTTAACTCCTGATAAAATCTGGCTCGGGTGATCGGATCACAAGTGGCCATCACAAAGATTGGATATTGCATTTGAATGCATCCTGATGTACAACATAGAAGGAAAGTCCATCATTGCAACGGAACAATGGTTTTACATTTTGCTAGCTGGGTGTGACTAAATTGCTAGTAAGCAACTGCCTGATAAAAAAGTGATTAGCCTACCGGAGATGCATGTTAACATCATGTGTAAATGGCTTGATTTCTCTCTGTAAATGGCTGACCACGTGCGAAGTGTATAGGGATATAGGGAGATACACAAACAACTCCTTTGATTATTTTGCAAATGATTATATATATATATATATATATATATATATATATATACTTTTGAGGCATTGATTTACAAAAAAAGAAAATCACGTTAAAAATGTTACGAATTTTGCCACATATCTTAACGCAGTCGAGTTGAACCTTTTATTTAGCCTATACTAAACTCCAGTCCACTTTTTTCATACATCACTAGACAGTTACAGGTGAAGGTGGTAAAAAACAATCTGTGAAGTAGTAAAATATTTCATAATTATGACTGTTTGCCTGGTGACATTATTCTCAACAGAATTAGGATCATTTCGCACCCATCTTGCGTTGTGACGGTCTACTCACAGAACGAGAGCGTGCTCGTGCACAGATGCTTCCCACTGGCACAAAGTTTCCAAAAACTGAGTGAGGGTGTAATCTGGATCAGATCTGCGCTGTTTATTGAAAACTGTCTGCGCATTGCTCACTCCGGCTGCTCCTGAATGCAGTGCGTGAACCAGCAACCGGGCCCGTCCGTCAAAACGCTGCACCAGAGCCTTCAGATCCATCACTGGAGCGCAATCACAGATATCGGACATCACCGACGAAGCCTGCTACTACTGTCATTTATCAAAATGATATCCGTAGCGGTCCGCCCAGACACAGCAGATATATTTATTATCAAAACAATGACGGATCATAACACTGCTGAAAGCTCAAGGAAGTTGTGTACAAAGTTTCGGATCAGTTCTTTATGTGGCTCTAAACAAACGCTTATTGTACAGTGGAGACTCCTGCAGGTTTGGAGCGGAATTACAATAGAAAAGCCCTAGGGCGACATTCTGAACCGGTTTTGCCATAGTGTCATCCTAATTTAAAATGGAATTATTTGTAGAAAATACAACTTCTCCAGAGTGCCCCCACCCTCCTCAAAGCATCTGTGGCAGCACATATACAAATTAAAGAGACCGAGAGGATCAAGTAAGGCAAACAGTGGAACTTTTTTTATTTTCACTTTTCTTTGAATATAAACACATACTAAAAGTAATAAAATGTGACATCAAGTCCTGGTATAACCTGTTAACACTGCTGAAGAGAACAATATAATCAAAAGCCTGCTGACAGGTTGCACATTTAGTGTTTTGCAAATACTGGCAATAATATTAACTACTACACAAAGTATACAAAATTAAAATCTGATTTCATATAAAAGGTATCAGACAAAAGGTTGCAACAATCAGGAATCAGCCCAGATGGAAGTACTAAACGATCAACAAGTGAAAAGCAAGCTGAAATAAGTGATCATGCATTCAGTTAACATTAACTTTTTTTGCCTAAGTTTCTCCCCAACTAATTCACCTGGAATGTTTGTTTGTTGTGTTTTTCTCCAGCACTCATGCACGCTGCGGTCTTCGGTAATGTGACGGCCATTATCCAAAGGATGTACTCGCGCCGCTCGCTCTATCACACTCGTACCAAAGACCTCAAAGATTTCATCCGCGTGCATCGACTTCCCAAAGCCCTCGCGCAGCGCATGCTGGAGTGCTTTCAGACGACATGGTCTGTCAACAATGGCATTGATGTCAGTGAGGTAGTACTTTTACATGTACTTTCAATAATTTGTGTGCACAAATGAATGAATTGTCAAAACAATTTCACAATTTATAAATCCTGCGCAAACAATTGTACTGTAGGTGCGGATAATATGCTTAGTCATGTAGGGCTTATATTTGAACTGCTGTTCTGATCCACTCGTTGAACACTTGTTGGGTTTTCTTGGTTTCTTAATGCTGAGAGGATCAGTAGCTCTGACACTTGTTGAACTTGTTAAATTCTTGGCACTTTTCATAAGTAGTGTAGCTACTTTATTTCTTTATCTTTTTCCGCTGGCGGTCAGTTAACATTCAGAAACTGTCGATGATCTTCAACCTCAGGAGGGCAAACTATTGTATGAGTTGATTAATTTTCAGTTATTTTTCTATGGGGTTTGCAATTTTCTGTTTTCCAGCAATAGACATTAGATAAGCATCCAAATTAAACATACAGAATTTATTGAATATAAAATTGGATTTTTAAGGAATGTTGATGTTATATGACACAGAAATGTACTGTATTTAGAATGTGCCTCTTCTGAGGTGCACTCATTCAAAGCAATAAGTACCTCTTTTCATGGGAAAAAAAATAATATGTAATTAAAGATCTAACTGTTTGACCTACTCTGGCCAAAAAAAAAAAGCAACAAAAAAGTCAACACAATCCTATTGATCCTATTTTGATAGTAAAATCATAATTATTGAGTACAGAGTAGCATGTTGTTTTAAAATATCTTATTAACCTGGCTACTTTGGCAAAATTCATTCAATATTCCATGACCTCCAGGAGAAAATGTTTTTAACATTTACAGACAATGCATTTTTATGGAGCCAGATCGGCCTCAAAAATAATACATTTATAAAACAAAATTCATAAATGCACAGCACAATTTACATTTACAAAATCCGATTTGTAAATTCAAAACACAATTCATAAATACAGAAGTAAAAGCATAAATATTTCCCCAAATGCTCACACAAAAGCATCTTACCTAAATAAATGTAAAATGTTTACACAAATATGTATATATCAAGTTCTTGAATTAATTTTCATCACACATTTATGAATGATGTTACATGTATTTATGGATCGTTGAATCTGCATTTGCAAATCATCACACATGCGTGGACTGCTTTGAATTTGTGTGTGGTATTTTTGAGACCTTCCTGGCAGGTTAAGATTCATAAATATCTTTTTTTGGAGGATGTTCCGTTCAGCCAATCGCGTTAATCATAAGAAAATGCCATCAGATAAAAAACGACTTTACTCACTTGTTGAGTGTTGTTTTCATCCTCCATGCTAAATCTCTCCGCTTGTGTGTGTTCGAAATCTCCCTTAGGTGGTGATAGCTGTTTTTAATGCCTGATCAAAAGTTATTGCGAATCTGATAGCCTACTAATAACAACAACAGAGCACATTACATAATTGTTGTAATTAAATGA